TCTATCTATCTATATACACACATTCATAAGAAATATTAAAGTTACATTTTCCTTTAATATTCTGTATTGAAGGAGATCCCAGTAATCTCACAGAAGTCGTGAAATGGCTCCATTAAACAGACATCTGCTGAGGGGGGCAGTGGAAGAGCCTCTTTTCCTTATAATGGAGGAAGAGGACAAGGAAAAGGCCCTCAACAATCTCCTGGAACAGAAGTCGGTTCCACAACTCCCACTCCATCATCAGCTTTAGTAATATAAACTAGCTGTGGATTTTAGTGACTAACTCATGTTTTCCCCTCTCTCCTCGTTTCTTTTCTCTCACTATTTTTTTTAGAATAGTTGACATTTTTACTTATCGAAGATTGCTCTTTGCATGACCGTTTCTAGATTACACCAGAATGAAGGTGAATGCAGACATTAGGCGCAGCGATCACCTGATTTCAAAAGTAAAACATATAATAAATGCATTTGATTGGTAAAACAAATTCAAATGTGACGTTTTAATCTCTAATGGTAATGCATGGAATTTACGGAAAACTCCACTAAATAATAGCGCTAAAAAGTGAGGGGCGTGGTGGGGCGTTGGCGATCGGCGCTACCGATGTCCGTCAATCTACTTCACAGCAAATCACGGGCCCCCTCCTTGCTTGGGCCCCGGGGCTTCAGCCCCGCCTAGCCCAATGGTTAATGCGGCCCTGCTTGCATTGTCTTTTTTCTTGTCATAATATTTTCGCCAACAGCAAAGGTTCAACTAGTGGTGAATGTTATGTCCGTATAGTACCAGTTTGATTTCAACAAAATGTTCATTTGTAAAGTTTTTATTTTTATTTTGTTTTGACATAACATCCACAACTAGTTGATAACCTGTGGGTAGTGTCACACTTTTGTAGAGTAGAAATGGGTTCTGACTAGCACTGAAGGCATTGGAGGCCTGGTTTAGTGTGGCTAAAGCTACTACTGGCTCTCTGGCCTGCTGGAGTCTTGCCTAATGGCCTAAGTGCTCGCTTATTCAGAAACTGTCAGTTTTATTGATAATCAGATGGCAAGCCACCAATACAGCCATCAACTGACATCCAGGAATTCTAGATCCCTGCCAGCTTACAATCAGTCATACCTCTGCCTCTCGCTTAGGGCATTATGGGCATGAATATTTGCTGTTAGATTTTTGAGGTTCTAATAATTATGTACATTCTATAAATAAAATTGGAACTGTGAAGATAGTCAGTTTCACTAATAAAATTGTTTGGACAAATTTGTCAACTCTAGCAGGCTCTGCCAGCTTTTCTTTTGGACCCCGTGGAGTAGAAAGTGAGTAGAATTGGGTAATTTAAATGTTGAAGTGACCAAATAATGGAAAAAATGCGTATATATATATATATATATATATATATATATACGTGTATATATATTTATTTATTTTTTATTTTTTTATTTTTTTCTCCCTGTAAACCTCTATTTTGTGCAGCTTTTGTATTTGTCTTGCCTTACCCCATAACCAGGCCTGAGCAAATTTTTTATTTCATTTATTTATTTATTTTTCTGGAAATGTGTATGTCAAAGGCATTTTGATCCTACCTTGTGAATGGCAGGAAGGCATTTTGGATCTTCCACAAAGAGAACTCTAGATTCTGGTTGTAAAAGTCTTTTAACTCTTACATAAATTGCTTCAGCACAAGCTCTGGATGAGGATCAGGTTTTGAAGATGAATGGATGGTGTTGTATTGATTTTTTCCCCCCACATTGGTTCCTTAATCCTGGTTAAGCATTGGGAGATTTAAGCACGGACCTATGTCAAAGGTTTCTGAACCAAGATCTTGTTAACCATGTCTATTCTTTGTGCCCCACTGACCTTTCTGTACTGGTCCAATGAATTCAAGTTTAGCAGTGTATCTCTCACCTATTTTTGTTTGAAACCTTTGAGGCTTTAACATAGGACATTTTTGTTGTTGTTAGGATTCAAATACGGTTGTGCCTGCTGTTGGTCACAATTGAAAATCTATTATTGTGTTAGATGCCAGGCCTCCTGGACCCAAGGATCGATACTGCTTTGTCGACAGATTCGAGCCCCTGCTCTGCTCGGCTGAAGATGAATTAGATTTTTCTATAAAAACGCGGAGCTTCGCTCTGCCATTGAGCTTATCGCTGCTGTGTGGGATGCTTTGCTCTTCACCTGTGGTATTGCATCCACTGTTATTACCGCTGCCCCACTCCCATGCTTTCTCGGATTTTCCCATTCTCTATCTGTCCTCATCTGTTATCTATAGGTGACATTTCTAATTCCAAATGGTTATGATCTGTATTAAAGTTTATGGATTAAAGATTAAGCTCTATTCTGTCCCAAATCCACCTACTACCAAATTCCTCTCAGCACCTTTCCAGGAATCCCTTCAGCTGTCCACGCTTTGTCATTTACAGTTCCAGAACATGCTTTCCGATGGACTATTCAGACTGTATACCTATTCAGGCTATATACATATTTAAGCACACCAGACACCACCAGTCAAAAGTTAATTATTTATTTATTTTTGATGTTTTTGAAAGAAGTCTCTTATGTTCACTGAGGCTAAGTTTATTTCATAAATCGAAAAAAAAAAGCTTTATACAAAAAGAATTTGAAACGATACTACTTCAGTTTTCAGCGTCACATGATCCTTTAGTAATCAATTAAATATGCTATTTGGTGCTCAATTGTCATCAGTTACTTTTGCTGCTCAGTTTTTAATAATAGTTCTTCTTATTAATGTCGAAAATTAGTGTTTGCCGCTTAATGTTTTTGTGGGAACCGATACTTTTTTCAGGATTTTTTGATAAATAGAAAAAATGACAGCATTTATTGGAAATATAAATCTTTTGTAACATTATAAATGTCTTTACTGTCACTTGATCAATTTAATGCATCTTTGCTGAATAAAAGTATTAATTTTCTTCTAAAAAAATCTTACTGACCCCAAATTAATTAATTTCTTTAAAAAAAAAACTAAAAAATAAATCAATTTCTAAAAAAAAATGGCTGCTGAAAATTCATTACAGGACCAAATTACATTTTTAAAATGTATTACAATTGAAAACAGTATATACATTTTTAGTTGTAATAATATTTGACAATTGCCGTTTTACTGTATTTTTGATCAAATAGATGTGGCCTTGGTGAGCAAAAGAGACTTCTTTCAAAAACATTAAAAGCATCTTAATTATTCCAAACGTTTGTATTAATAAATAATAATAAATAAATTTAATTATAGTTTTATTTTCCAAAAAAGATTTGTATGTACCTATGTGCAATTTATATTTGTATATTTTAAGCATTTACGCTTAAGCCTTTAGATCAAAAAGTTTTGAAGATCATGGAAAAACAGAAATTCAGCCAAGTGTGAGTGTTAGCAGATCTTCAAGCTTGTGTTTTTGTGTTTCAGGTGGTGATGAAGATCATCAAGCATTACCAGGAGGAAGGTCAGGGCAGTGAGGTGGTGCAGGGGGTGCTGCTGAGGACAGGCTGGAGATCACCAACTGCTTCCCTTTCCCTCAACACACAGAGGACGATGCTGACTTTGATGAAGGTAAGGGACTAAAGTTGTGCTCATTGCCTTAATCATTTGTTAGCACTATTCAGACAGGATTAATTTTCTAAATGGCATTTGAGTTAGAGTTTCTAAAGTAGGCCATCTACCCTCATTATTGTTGCTACTGTTTCGATTATTTAAAAATTGAATTTTACCCACGGATCAAATTTAGCTTCATTTTGGTTCTCATTGTATCAGTGCACTAAATAATACCCATCACTGATGTCACCCAGAAATTAAATCTTTATATTTTTGGGCTCCCTGAAGAAGTATTGAAATAATAATTTTAAGCAGCTTTGGGGAGAAAGCAAATTATTTAGTGACATGGATGTTGAGATGTGCTATATTAAGTACTGATGAAGTGCAGATAGAGAATATACACAAATAAGATTCCTGGGAACATTATAAATGTGTTCACTGCTAGATAGTGATCCTGCTATTCCAAATGCAATTTAGACCGTTCTGCCTTAAATTGTGCCTGATAAGACTGTCAACAACTTTCTGATTTTATAAGCAGCCATTTGATTAGAAACACATCTTTATTATGCAGGGTTTTTTCTTCCTTTGTCTTTCTCTGCGTTTTCAGTACGAGTAAACAGAAAATAGGGAGGTGATTAAGTAGAAGTATTGCCAATCATGAAAAGATTTGAACCACTGAACCTGTTTTTTGTAGGCTCTATTTTTAACTGCAAATCTGCCATCTCCCTATTCTCCAATTAGCCAAAGTGGTTTGAATGTGGCTCACTGCAGATTTTCGATTATTGCTTAAGGGTCTCTCATATACAGTCAATTACAAATGTTGATGCTATAATTCAAATATTATTCAAATTATAAGATGATGCTATTATTTAAATTGGTGTTTAACCAACTATAAAATTCAGATATATTGTTTTATGTACTGTTGTTTTATGCAATTATGCACACAAAATCGAAATTAAGCAACGTTTATTTCAATTACACCAAGGAATTTTAACTTTTATTGCTCATCCTTGCATTTTGTCACATTAAACTCCTTTACAAGCGTAAGCTTTTGTACTTTATCACACTGCTGTGTCAGCTCGTCAGTGATCACTAACAGAAAAACGTCATTGTCGATAGTCGCGCTAGTAAATGGTGAAGTAAATTGTGGTGTAATTCAACAGAAACCTGTATTGGCGCAAAGGTTTGGGGCTCAGCTTTTATAGGGCTTCTCCAGAGAGTGCTAGCCAGAACGCCTCATCAAGCTCGGTCTGGAGAGAAGTGAGAATGAGAATGGTCTGGTTTCAGCACAGAGCGAGAGACTGTGAGTTGTTTATTCGCTTTTATGGCCTGTGAGATCACAGGTATAGCCGGTGAGATGGGCTGTGCATCATGGGAGGGAGAATGAGGCAGGGTTGCATTATTAAAAGTGTAATGGGCTGTAAAGGCTCAGAAATGGAGGCAGCAAAGGAACCAAAATTGTCCAGGGTAGGGTGTTGTTCTGTGGGCCACCAAAATAGGGCTGGGGTGATGTGACTGTATATATCACAATGGTGAAAAATATTTTGTTATACTGTTTATATGTATATACTATGAGATGGCATGATATAAAAAAATTCTGACCAAAAAACAAAACAAAACAAAACGGGGCCATTTATAATTCATCTGTCATCTCAACAATCTTGCTTTTTGGTGTGTCAATTAAGTTTAAAATTAAATATTAAAGTATTTTAGTCACTAGATTAAAAATGTGCATTACAACATGACTACGCAATATATGTAATATTAAAATAATAATAATTATTAATAAAAATTGAATACTACTAATTTATTCTCATAATAATATTCATAATGATAATAAAACATATTGTAGTGTAATTATTCACTTAGTCACTAGAATAAAAAATACAGTACTTCATGATGTAATATGAAATATATATAACAATATATTAGTAATATATAAAACCTAATAACAATGATTTATTGTCATTAATAATTGTATTTTTTATTGGTTATTGTTACATTTTGGAGACACTAGCATATGTAGTAATTTATTTTTAATGTATAACATTATAAATTATAGTAACAATACATTAATTGTATTGTTATGTATATATATATATATATATATATATATATATAGATATATATAGATAGATAGATAGATAGATACACAAAATAAAAGATAAACAGTTTACTGTTACTGTGATATAAAATTATTCATGCCATGATATAAGATTTTGGTCATACCGTCTGCCTCTAACTATTAATGTGGTGCAGACTTGGATTTAAAAATATATATTTTAATATTTTAGTCTTTTGAAAGTGTTAGAGGGGACAACATGAGCACCTTTGAATCCACAACTGACTGTAATGACTTACGATGCATTTATCAAGAAGCGTTAAGTTAGTACTAATTCTAAATGAGAAGTATTCAGCCTCAAGCGTAGTGCATCGCATCTCCAAGTATACATTAACTCAGTGACTCTGACACTTCCTGTGGTATCCTCGCGGTTAATTTATTCTCCTCCTCTGCTACAGGGTGTGTGTACATATGACAATGTGGGTTTGGGTGACCCTGTCCCACCCTTCCCATCACAGCATATTTTTCTCTGTCTTTTGCCCGTAGGGCTGTGCCTGACAAATTATGGCATCTAATGGATATTTAAACACCCTTCATATGCAAAGCAAGGATCCTTGAACTGTACAGGCTGCAGAAAGGTGTAAATTCACTCTTTAATGAGCAGTTGCGACTTCTTTACTTGTTTTTCCTACGAGGCAATTGCTTTATTTATTACTAGAGTTTTAAAAGGTGAGTTTGACTCGGCTGCATTTCTTTACCTCCTTGTGAGTGTTTTTTTTTCCATGGGTGTTTTCATTTTCATCCATTATGAAAACCTGCCAGTGACCTGAGGTGACTTCCATCACTTCACTCCATTTTTACCTAGTGTTGGACTGCCTCAAACAGAGCAGAAGTCTTTCAGGTGGTTGGATTGAGTCTTATCTGATGGAGGAGTGCAGGTTTGCTTTGGAGAGACAGAAACAGAAGGGTGGAACACCTAAAGAGAGTAATACAAACAGACTGTCCCAGCCAAGATAAGCATACAGCCATAGCCATATCACCCTGCAGCCCAAGACTGGTCGCCCACTGTAGCTAAGCAAGGTTGAGCCTGGTCAGTACCTGGATGGGAAACCTCCTGGGAAAATTAGGTTGCTGTTGGAAGAGGCTTTAGTGAGGCCAGCAGGGGGTGCTCACCCTGTGGTCTGTGTGGGTCCTAATTCCACAGTGTAGTGACGGGGACACTATACTGTCAAAAAGCACCGTCTTTCGGATGAGACGTTAAACTGAGGTCCTGACTCTCTGTGGTCTTTAAAAATCCCATGGCACTTCTCGTAAAGATTAGGGGTGTAACCCCATGTCCTGGCCAAATTGCCGCCACTGGCCCTTGTCAATCATGGCCTAATCATCCCCATCCACTGAATTGGTTCTCTCTCTCCTCTCCACCTGTAGCTGGTGTGTGGTGAACGCACTGGCGCCGTTGCACTGTGGCTGCCGTTGCATCACTCAGGTGGATGCTGCACACTGGTGTTGGTTGAGGAGTGTCCTCGCACCGTAGAAACAGAGGGAGGGGCGGAGGGGGACTAGGAGGAGGACAAAGCAGTGGATGTGAGATGGTGACAGGGGAAGGCAAAGGGCTGGCAGGCAGAGCAGACAGGTGGAGGTTCCGGCGGAGGACGGACTTCCAGGAGGAGGACGGCTAACAGAGTCCAGGGAGGTGATGATGGAGTTATAAGTTTGAGGTCAGTAGGATTTTTTTTTGGATGCAGTAAATTGATCAAAAGTGACAATTTTCTGTTTCAAATAAATGCTGTTATTTGGAACTTTCTATTCATCAAAGAATCCTGAAAAAAAAAAAAATATATATATACATTTCCACAACAATATTATGCAGCATCAACATTGATAATTTATCATCATTTCTTGAGCTCTAAATCAGCATATTAAATTTCTGAAGGGTCATGTAACACTGAATACTGATGTAATGGCTGCTGAAAATCAGTTTTGACATCACAGAAATAAATTAGATTTTAAAATAGATTACAACAGATAACAAGTATTTTTACATTCTAATAATATTTCACATTATTGCTGTTTTTACTGTATTGTATATCAAATAAATGCAGCCTTGCATTAAAGTAAAACTTTAGATTTTACTAAAGTTAAAAAAAGACTAGAGTAAAATATTAAAGGGGTCATGAACTGGCTTTTTAAAATTATTTTATACTGTTGTCTGAGGTCCACTTATGACGTTCGCTTGGTTTTTACATTCAGAAACATCAAAATCAATAAGTAATAGGCTATTTTCTACCCTGGTTTTGAGGCCTGCTCGAGAAACGCTCGGTTTTTATGGGCGTGCCGCATTGAAGACTTGGAAGTAAACGCCCACTGCTATGATTGGATAACAGTTTTGCATAGTAAACTAACTTTCTGTGTGTCTGTTTGACAAGCTGCGTCCTTCATAGTTGGAGCCTTCAGTGACTTTGGTTAGACACGTTCACATAATCAGAACATATCAAGCGACCTCTAACAAAGCAATAGTGACACATAGTACTAATATTTTTTTCTCACATAAGTGTGCTGCGCCATTCCTGTCGGATCCAATACAGACGGCACAGCATTGCTTTTTAATCTCAGTCTCTCTGCAAATCCAGCATCGACCTGTGTCTTGTTTACAAAGGAATCCGCGGTGAAATGAAACAAACAAACACTCAATGTTTTACTCGCGTGAGCTAGAACTTCATTAAAAATAAAAGTTCAACCACGCATTCCTAATATTTGAATCCGAAGGAAGGTTATGCAGCGACTGTGTTCTTCCACAACCAGGCACTGCACAATATTTTGCGATCTTTAACGGCATGTTTATTGCTTGGTCGCTCTATCCGGTTTAGCGTCACTCATGTTATTTCCCTACTATGCCATGTGTGAATCAGTGGGCGGGGCTACAGAATTAGGCCTTGATATTCTTCTGTGGAGGCGG